TGTCGAAAATATGGTGTAATATTACTTGCTAAAAAGGACAAAATTATCATTAATACAATGCATGAAATGACATTACGCTGCTTTTACTGCGTTTGTTTATTTATGTGGTCATGAAAATTACATGAAATTTTCGACATGATTGTAGTGCATCCACTTTGATGTGATATCAAAATTATTTTTTTGCTGTGTACAAGAAGCCAAAATTGAGTAATATGAGATATTCTCAGATTTGAGTGAATTGAACTTAATTATGCGTACGTGTACTTTCAGCTGTTTACACAAATTTGGGTTATCGTACGGAATATGGGATACGAATTAATTGAATTTAATGTTGGGTTGTTTTTTATTTTATTTTTGTGTGGGTGATTTAAAGCCAAACGAACAGTCAAAGCCAGAGGCAATCGACCAGCGTCTATCTATGTTCATCGGTAATGTTGCAAGATACCAAGGCAGTTTGTTTTGAATTAACATCCCTCTTATTATAGACCCTCACTAGACTAACCTTATGTCTTGTTCAGACTACAGTGTTATAACATGTTACAAGGGTATTATAATAATTATCTACAAGATAACATTGTAACATGTTATAACCTTAGTGAGAACATAACATAACTGGTAACCTCTCGGAACCACGCAAGAGTACGCAAGAACGGGAAAAGCCTTCTTTAAACGTACAAAGATAAGCTGTTTCTATGACAGACTTCATGTCGACCGTTTGGTATATTTAGCACCGTTCACTTGATTAATTTATATTGACAGATAACCACAAGGTTATTTGCGTCACTTGGGGCAATGATTTCGTTGTCTTACTGAAATTGATTAGTAGGCAGCTGTCCAACCCACAAAAGTTGTGCCATTCAATACGTTCTTCTAACGCAAATCGTAAGTGACTGCAGCCTAGTTGAACCGAAAAAATGTTAGATTCTTAAAAGAATTTCATAAAATTAATCTTCTTTCCTTTATTTAACGTCGGTCTATGTTCCGCAATCTAGTGCCAGCCACCGACAGACATCGATTGCCATCCATTGACGGCAATCGAATATGCAGGAAGGCAGCTTCCACACATGCGTAGGATATCGCACTCATTCAACACACATGGCCGGGACCAACAGCTTTACTTCCCTTCCTTACACGGAGAAAAAATACTACCCAAAATTTGAGTTCTTTTTACTTAATATTGACTTTAGCCTCTCACTTGCACTCGTTATTGTTGTCAAAAAAGGAACAAGAGATTCGACCCAACGATATAGTTCAGCCCAATAAGTTACTCTTGAGTAAAATGCATATTCTCAAATTTACGTGAATTAAACTTAATTTTGGGTAGAATATACTTAAGAGTAGGTATTTTTTTGCTGATGTTAAATGGAAACTACTATATGCGATTTACTCAAATTTAGGTTATTGGGCTGAACCCCGGAATTGAGGGAAAAGTACTTAATTTTGGGTAGTTTTTCATCTCCGTGTACGTTTCCTTTTACATGACGTATTTCCAATTTTTAACTCTATGCTGCATCTGGTTGTTACGCCTTGTACCAGAACTACGAATTATATTATTTTAATATGTCAAACGTACTGATTCTGTAGTATCTAGTTAAGCCCGATTCATTTGAAATGAATCCGATTGATACTTCACCCACAGACAAACAGACATAACATATTGAATATTTCTCACTGTAAAACATCGTCGCTAAAACATTACCGCCATCTGTTGAGTACACTGTGGTGAGCAGTACGCTGAACAGATGGAGGTAGTGTGTCAACGTCAAACGCGAGCTACAGGTGGCGGTACTACGAACTACGACACTTTTAAATTGACCGTTGAATGCTTGTTCGATGAACAACTTGCGAGTGTTAGCGGCGCCGGTAGTGTAGTGGTAAGCGTGATTGCCTCTCACTCCAGCAGGCCTGGGTTCAATCCCAGTCGGCGCCGCCGGGATGTTCTGAGGCATAACATCTCTGATCACGCCTTCCTTCGGAAGGGAAGTAAAGCCGTTGATGATCGATAGCTAGGGTCCAGGTGTGGGAGCTGCCTCCCTGGCGTCGGTACTCAGCACGGAAAACAAGATCGACGGATAACAAATCAAAGGAAAAAAAAATCATCGAAATTCGGAAGTGATTTTCTCGATATGGTGTTTTTGGAATTCCACCCTTTTCAAATGTTAGTCTAGATTTATAGTCATACGATAACAACTGCCATCACATATACCGAACCAAAATTACTTTAAAATCATCAAAATGACCTTCAAATCGTCAAAACGGTCATAAAAATTAATATGGCCGTAGATACTTTTAACTTGTCTTAACAACCACCACAATGACCATAAAGGGCGACATGAAACCAATGGACATTGTTACACTACCCTAAGAACTGCAGGAACAGTAATTTAAAAGCGCCAAAACGTGAGTTTCATTATTTACGCAAAAACGAGTTATTTTAGACATACACCCCCTGTTCTGCGAGTCGAGTGACTCGCAAAACAGGGTGATAGTGTCTTCGGAGCAGTTTCCGTTCAATTGATGTTATTTAACGTCTAACTTCTCCGTTCAAAAACTCATATGAGTTGTATTGGCTCAGTAAATTTTCATTACTATGATAACTATACGGTACTAAGAAGAGAATTCTTTGTCAGTGTATGCTATTGAAAAAAGTGGAGCAGGACCATCTAACATGAATAAAATTGTTGTATTCTGACCAAAAATTAACTTATTCTTTAACTTAGAATAAGCTTTAAAATTTGCTCTATCATTAAATTGTTTTAATAACACATAAATATATTTGTTCGATAGCGGCAAGGCAATCGATAGAACTGTTTCCGCACATCGAAGGTACGTGAGCAAATCGGTGATCATCTCTTTTGCCAGTGGTGGCGGGGGATATACCCTTCACCACTATCAACTATCTACTTTCTACTCCTTATCTATCGTATAAAATGTCCACTTTAAGTCTGACCTTAAGCATCTCCAACTATGTTAATCATTTAACTTCACGCATGGAGTAATACAAACATGATTAGTTAAAACATTTGTTGGACTTTCAAAGTTTCTGGCACACAGTTCTGAGGACAATCCAATATGGGATAGAAGCAGCAACATCATATTGGTCGCCCCTCGCTATAAACAACGCCTGGAAGTCCAATCTACAGATACCCTACTGAAAATCGTAACTTTTTCGGGGAACTAGTGTTTTTGAGGAACCGTATTTCAGTTAAAATTTTCGCAGGAACCGTTTTCGGGGAAAAGTAGTACAATCGCTACTCTGGTAAATAAAGCAATTATTAATATTAAATGACGGCTTGCAAGAACTTGCGTTGCGGAACGACGTGTTGTTGTTGGAAAAAGTTGATTAAAACTTCAGTCAATTTGATTTAACTGATTGTAACTTGGTACACTTGGATAGTGCATATCGGAAGTCAATTCAGTTTTCATCTCATAAAAATGCATCCTTATTCACCAACAGAGAAATGTGTTTAAATTCAGATAATAACAACAAACGGATTTATTGATACATACTTCAACTCTTCATTCAAGCCAACACCAGACGTCAAGGTTTTGCCCATTGAATTATAGAGTACACACGAGAACAAGGGAGGTTATCGTGTAAACCGTAGACAGTCAGAAGTATCACAATAATCCTCAACTGTTATCAGCGTCTATAAACGACGGCGACGGGCTCATATGGAAGCAGCAGTCCGGCAGCACTGAGAATCGTGCAATTCATACAAACAAAATATAAACAGATTGATGACTGCAAATACCAAGCGCAAACAAAAATTTCGCGCACACCTCAGTTTATATTTGGTTCACACTGTTGACAGCAATAACTCGGGTAAACGACTTGACAACACGACACCATGACAGAGGCTGGTTTGATGCTTGGGATTTGTAAAGCTAGAGCTCTCACTGTAATGCTATCCCTGCCTGCAGATAAGCTTTGGCAAGTAAGATAATAAAAAGTATAATGATGCGGAATACAACGAAAGGACACATGGTCTCCCTCAGCAAAGAAGGTCGGTGGGCATTAGCATACGATCAACATCTAATACCATGTTGATCGCATTAGCTATCATAATGCATGTCATTCTCCAGATAACTTCTTAAGGCATCAGTAGCTAAAATAGCTAAGAACGGGGTAGCACGCGGTTTTATAAGAAAAGTCTACCCCACAATTTGCCTCAATGCCAACAAATTACCATTTCTTAATTGAGTGCATATACCGTACCAGCACCATACTTTGCGCAGTTTCCTAATGATTGCGCATTCATGTATGTTCGAGCGTTTCTCGATTTTAACGATATATTTTAAAAAGTTTGAACAACTCTCTTACTTTGAACACGAGAAACAGTGTTTGCGATGGGAAAATTTCAAAAATATTGCTGATATTTCTTGGAAACTGAGTGTTAGGAACCGCGCAAAATCTGGTACCAGCACGGTACTGAAGTCAACTACTACACTAACTAGTGGCAATTCTCTGCAATAGACCATGTCAAGTCAGTGGGTTAAATTATTCTGAAATTAAGTCCGATGAACGGAAAGACCAGTTTATCTTGTTTTGGAAAATCGACATTACCTACACCGAATGAACCTAATGTGATAATGTATTATAAATATCTGCTTATAGGGCACAGTACGGCATGTTTTTTTTTTAATTCGAAACCGGCTCACTATTCTAAATAGGAACACCACGTGCTACACAAGGCCATATGCGGCGAGATGAATTGTCGTTTCTTGGCAGCTGTTCGTGTTGTTATTCATCTACGTATATAGATCCCACGTACGTACAAAGCAGCTGACTAAAAACCGAAAGCCGTAGACACTTTGACTCTCATTTTGCTTACAGCCCGGTGCATTCTCTGTTTATTTTTCATTGAATTGTTTGAGAGAACCCTTGTCCTTTGCCAGCGGTAATATGTTACAGCCTACTGATATTTTGTTCTGATTTCAATGGTGGCAAATAATTGATTAATTTTGGGTCGTTCACACATGAAGCGAGGAAAACTTACCATGTGCGACGTTATTGATGCAGTCGAGATAGCGTGACCCTTCCTCGTCGTACATGTATTGGCCTTGGCCACGAACTATTTTCAACGGGTCGGTTTTGTAAAACAGTTGGCAGGATTTGCTGAAATGAGATGAGGAAAAATAAATAATGAAAAACAGGAAGGTTGCTTGATTGTCTCAAATAATAATGTAGGTAAGCTTGGCCGCATTGTCTAGTTCTAAATAGGTATAGTTCATGTTTATCCCTATTTCCGTTTTCGATCGAAGCAGATTTCCCATACAAGAAGATCTTTTGTATGGAAGATCCGTTTCGATAGAAAACGGGAATATGAGTAGGTAAATATGTATAGAAGAAAATTGAAAATGTTGTTGTAAATCATATGGATATTACGTTTAACGGGATTGATTAAAACAGGATCTGGATTTATTTGGTTGCATAACAATGGAAAAATAATTTGTCTAAGCAATTATCACGAAATTGGCATTACGGAATACTTCACAAACAAAAGAACTGCAACTTTTACGTAATCCTTATATTCTACATCTACGCTCAATACTTACCCGATATATTTGTTCCGCAGCCGGATGGTATCGGCCTTCGGCATGTGTTCCTTGCAATCTACAACGTTTTGCATCTCTACCGATTTTTGATCACACACTCTTCACAAGTACAAGAAATGATTATTTCCTCGCGATTGTTCAAGCGGGAGGGTGTAATCTTTATTTTTGACACTGCGATTTTATTTTGACTCTGTTTCCACCCGTGCGACGGTCGCAGTGGTTTCAGGAAATCACAAAGCGTGAATTTGGAAGAACTTCACACCCACACGGTAAAGGACTCGATGAAAAGTTCACTAAACTCCAGTGGTACCTGGCTTACAATGGTGTGATTGCAAGCAGATGATAGGTCCTGCCGACTCGCTACTGCTGCTCTGAAGAACCGAGGTTGATGTTACACATCGGAATGATAACGTCAAACTGAGGCAAAAGTTGGAGGCCCGCCAGTATTTGTATTCTGCTCTCTCCACAGTAAAAAGAGAGCTAGGTGTTTGTAGAGCGCTCCCTGACTCGACTTGTTTATGATTTTCAACTAGCCAGCCGTGCGTAAATTATCTCGGGTTGGGGGGGGGGGGGGGGATTTAATGGAAGAAAGTGGACTTGCTGACCTGATCACAAAGAGCGTTTTCGTGCATAAATTCTTATCGGTGACTACAGAAGTCATATGTTATGTGATATTCGCATGGAGAGCAAACTTCGTTATACCCAGGACAAACAAGAAGCGTGCAAATTTACGAAGTAGAAATAGGTACATGGCGGCTAGATAACTAGATAAATATACAAAAGTTGTCATAAGAAATTTACCCACATATATTTCAAGCAAAAGACTGATGAATCGACAAATTGAGACTTCAATTCTACAGTTAGCAAGACATACATCTGTCCGATTGTTAGTCGTGACTTCATAACCGAAAATTATGAATTACCTAAATGTAATCGCATAAAAAAGCATGCTTATCAATTGTTTCCAAGTAATTTGATAGAATAGTTACAGGTTTAAGTGTTTACCATTTTTATCGAATACACCCTTTACAATAAAATTTGTTTTTCGAACGTCAACGAGAATATGGGTGTATAATTTGTAATTATATTAAACAGAGTAGAATAATCAATCATCATTTGGCATTCCTACACCGAAAAAAGTTTTCATGTAGCTTCCATTGGAAACGCAAATGATTTTCATCCATAAACAAAATTAATGGAATTCATCTGAATTTCACATAACATTTATGCGATCACGTTAATTTTATATAATTTTTCATATGAATTTCATCGGCCTAATAATATCCATGTGATTTTGTGGTGGGATTTTTAGCTATGTGATCAAGTAAAAGCTATGTGATCACATAAAAGTTATGTGAAATTCACATGGTTTTCATCCATTAGATAGGGTATACGTCCCTAACCTCGGTCTAATATGCAGCCATAGATTACGTTTTTAATCATAACTCATCAATTAATTTACCTGCAAACGATATTCTACTGCTAAATGGTATGCTTAGATATGCTTATCATGTCGTTTGCTATCAGGAACCGCAAAAAGTTGAAAAACTTACTTTTTTTAAGACAAAAACTCACCAGCGAAATGTATGTAATATCGGTCTATTGTCCCCAAATTGGGTCTATTTATGGATGCAACTTCGTCCTATCCTGTTTGATTCTCAAAAAAAAACGCTCTTGGTAACGTTTTCTTATGTATTTTTTTTTATCACTATCACTGTTAACTTAATACTCTTCATTCCTCAAAACATTTCTTAGAGAAAATTTTACGAAAACTACATTAAATCACTCAAGTTAAAAATTAAAAATTAAAAATTTCGCTTATCGTCTTTCGACCGCAGAATATCTAAATCAAAACATTGTGATGTTCATTATACAGATTTGGCAGAAAAAATCTCCCTTCCTGTTCGTTCCTTATCATCCAAATGCAAACCACATTGTTGACGTTACTCTTATTGCTATATGCTGTCAAATGAATTTCATGGGCCAAAGTTAGGAACATAGAAAAGAAATGTGTCCCTAAAGTTGGGTCCATGATTTACTTGTGAAAACGTTGTTAAACAATTAAAATAAACATAAAATATTCAAACAGTAACTGTGAGTTTTACGTCTAGTGTGTATTATCAGGTAATTCCATTCAATAAATGCCATAATCAGGCCATTTGATGATCGTCAGTGCAACCTTCCCATCTTAACCTTAGAAGTCATGGCGGCTAAAAACTCCGAACAGAGTGATATTCTCAACCAGTTTTATTACTTACGAGAGCTGAAAATGTATTGAAATGTTGTGATATAAATTGATTTGTGTGTGGTACACATTTATCAATCATCAGTGATCAATATTTTCCTTATTTTTTGTGTAATATTCCTTAATTAATTATTTATTTGCGTGATAGGCCGAATGAAAGGACTAGACCCACATTACATACCGTAACCCTATGTGATAAATTTTTTGAGTGTACGTTAATCGCTTTATTCTCGACCAACTATTGAAAAGGGCGTATTAGCTTTTCAATTTCAACCACAGAAGGGGTCATAGGATCAGGTCTCTAGTGAAAAATCACTGTCTATACTGCTCCAGGGTAGAGATATAGATTTGAAATCATAGAATGATAACCGCAGGGGTCAAATGAGTAAGGAGTTATTGAATACAGCGGATACATCATACATCAATAATAGTAATAGTGATACTAGTTAAAAGATGGGAAAATAAAGAAGATAGATGATTTGCTAACGGCGCCGGTGGTGTAGTGGTAAGCGTGATTACCTCTCACCCCAGAAGGCCTGGGTTCAATCCCAGTCGGCGCCGCCGGGATGTTCTGAGGCATAACATCTCTGATCACGCCTTCCTTCGGAAGGGAAGTAACGCCGTTGATGATCGATAGCTAGGGTCCAGGTGTGGGAGCTGCCTTCCTGGCACGTCGGTAGCATTGGTGCTCATCACGGAAAACAAGATCGACGGAAAAAACAAACCAAAGGGATGATTTGCTATTCCTATCGACCTTGTTCCATGAGGGATTACTAATCATGTCAAAAACAAACAATCTCTGCAGGAGGATTCAACGGCTCGCTAGTGTTTGCAGTCCAATAAGCGCAGTAGGTTATCGGGATTGGTCCATGGAAGCCGTTGTAAGGCGAATCTGACAAAACGCATTTGGATTCTTTGCGCGATACATGGGCAGTTTAAACATTTTTTCAAAAATATCGGGTTAGGAAGCGAATCCAGGAAAAATATTGGTATGGGTGTTCCGTAAAAAAATAACCCAGCACCTATACCTACCATATTCTTTTCTATTTATTAAATTGTATATAAAAAAAATCAGAAAAGGTCCATATTTCGTTAAAATTAACATTTAACCATGCTCAGAAATTTTTCTAGAAAAAGTCCCATACTGCAGTTATAGACACTCCACTTATAGAAACCCATTGAAATTGTCTAGATTAATAAGTTTGAAATATTAGCTGAAAAGTTTTAAGGCCATGCTGCGCGGAGTGATGTTTGTAATATTCTTTAAAATTTGATATTAGATATGGGAATAAACATTACAACCCAGAACAGATCCTATTCGGCGAATTGAATTAAATATTTGATAATCAAAGAGATTTAAATAACTCTAAACCAAATGGTAAATATTTAAAATCTACAGTCATGTTTGTATTTTTTTTAATGATTTGATAATTCAACTTCTAGATCTAAAAAAGTTCATCAAACTCGGGTTCTTGGTGGGTTCAAATTTTTTTAACATTTGAATGCTTACGAACATTAGAAATTTGCACAAATCCGGGATCGTTTTTCTCTCACCCTGCCCTTTAGCTCAGTAAGGGTTAGGGCACGTTCTGCCAGGTTGGTCGAGGCAGATTTCATGTGTGAGTAAGTGGTGACACTGGACATTGCTATGTGCAATTCACTTTAAAATGTGCTTTTCATATTTAACCACATGTAGTTCCATAGAGCGCTTACGACGATTACTTCAAGATACGATATGACGAAACATTGATATTAATTGTATAAAACACAAGTAAATCGACAGTGAGCATGCATAAGGGCGAATACGCGATGATCGATTCTCTTCATCGATTTTCTCTTTGCATTGCAACAGCTAAGCGAAACAATTTTCTAACATTTGTTCAATGCAGAGTAGTAACAGGTTGTATTGGCTATCAAAAGCAACAGCAAACGCACCGAGAAACGTTAAATCTAACGAGTTATTAACAAAAGAGAAAATCGACGAAGAGAATCGATCATCGCGTATAGGCCCTTATGCATGCTCACTGTCGAAATGCCTCCAGAAATTAGTTAGGATAAGATATTAAAAAATGTGTCAATTGTTAATAAAAAAATTGAATGTTGCATTGAAATACTTTAAATCGTGTTATATTTAAATGTTCCCTCATTTCACAACCGTTGAACCATTCTGGACGGCCATCCCGTAGTGGTTATATCACATCATTGCTAATAATGTATATAGGGGAAATGGATGTAATGTCGGCCTATATGCTCCTAATTTGCGAGGGGGACGACTCTATCTACGATGCAGGAAAGATTGTGTTTTGCTGTGGCTAGCTGCGTGCACGCTGAGTAGATAGAAAGAAGATTGACGATGATTCTGAAGATTTCCTGCAAAAAGATGATGCGCGATGCAAGTAGATGCGAGAAATGAAAGAAGATTTTTCGAATATTGATTCGCTAGTTGGAGATTTGTTAAGCATCTAAACTTGAGATTTAGATGTGTCACCCCCTCGCTAATTTGGGCCCATACATAAATTCAGCAATCGACTAAATTTTCAATAGCGACCAAAATATCCCTTTGTACCGTCCCAATGACGCGTTCATCTAGATAAAATTGATAAATAACAGATTTTTAGCGATGGGCCCAATCTTAGATCCATAGGCCAACATTAGAGACATTTCCCCTATCTATATCTTTTCCGGTAGCATGGAGTCGACAAAGTAAAAGTAAAAGGAGGATTCTATAACATTCCCCAAAAAAGTATGCCATGTATTAGATTGACTATTTTTGTTTATTATAGTCACTCCTGGAATCTTCTTTCGCGTAAATAAAAAGAAGAGAAAAACTTTTTAATGGGTCAATGGGTTTTAGGAGACCTTAATAGATAAAGGGGGTTTCCCTTCTTTGAAAATATAACAAAAGGAAATAATTAATTCTTTGGATAAACGATAAAGAGGGAATATTCATTTCTTCGAATATATAAAAGAGAAAATAATTAATTCTTTTGATGTATGATAAAGAAGAGAATACTCCCTTCTTTTAATATATAAAAAATAAATAATAAGGGGCTGTTCATAAACTACGTAGATCGATTTTTCGAGGTTTTAGCTATTAAAAAAGTTTTATCATGTTTAGCAATGTTGTTTTAAAACAATATTGCGCATTT